CTAGTTTAGCGGATTTTTAAACGCCACATCATCATTGTAGATAACCACATAAATATGGGGTTCGATGCGTCATTATTCTCTCAGCGCTTATATAGATGGTATAGTGTCTGAGATCTAACGTCATTGCTTTTGTAAGATTGACTTGCTCAAAATCCGACGGGCTTGATAAATGTGCCTTTGTAACGTTCAGTTAGTTTCTATGTATACCATTTAATAATTGTTCTTCTTCGTGATAAGTTTACCCAGGAATTGTGCCACTTTGTGGCCTTAATTCTTGGTTCTTGACGGGTTGATTGATCGCTTAAAACTTTTGGTGGTTTATGTCAACTTTATCTGTTTTGCTTCCAAATGCAGATTTCATTCCCTCACATCTCGTCTCAGGAGTTCCCAATACTTTCGGCTTTCGCTATCTCGGGGTTCTCGGCTGTTGTTGAGCGCAGTAAACTGTGATCCGACTTTGTTATCTGTTGGATCTAGGCTCTACACCATTCTGGCTCAACCATTACCTTGTAAACTTGTTGTTTGATTGCTCAAAAATTTTCCACTTAAGTGTCTTGAAATGCGTAAAGGTCGATGAATCTGTAATCTCCGTGAATGGTGGGTTACGCATGTATGAACTGATACCAGATTTGCCTTGCCCCAAGCGGCTGGGTTGGTATGTTTCACGTTTATTTTGTTCCTCCTGGTCATCATGTGAAAGACAAGAGAGAGCTGAAGACACCCTTTATTAACATGCTATCCTTCACACATCCGGGTATAATATCCTTCCCTTTGTCACCCCGCCCACTGTTCGTAAAAACTAAAGTGGTCTGGCTAACCAATAAGTTAGTTTACCAGGAATATGTGGCAAAGAAACAAAAAATAATAACGCTGGGTTTGGCATACAATAATAAAGAGGCCAGATGGAACTGACTCACTAGCGATTGTTCTCTTAACAATAGTTCGTCGTTGGTCCAGGTCAGCGAATAAACAATAATCCAGTTATGTTGATCCAGAAGTATTCTTCTGAACAGTTCATACATATAGTAGATTCCGAAGATGGTCTGAAATGTTTTGATACCAGAGTTAATACATGAGACTCGCGAATGGCCGCTGCAAGCGCAAGCGAAATCAGAAGGGAGAGTCGAAGTACGTGACCACGCTTGTATTCTGTAAAACTGTACAGGTGCGCGTTTTTGTAGTTTTTCGCATTCAAACAAAAAACGAATATGCAATTGATGAAATACGTAGTGCTATAATAGGAGTAAAATAAAGGTACAAACGCCACACAATCCCTCCATGTTATTCTCGAATTCCCCACTGATATCTACATTGAGGTATGTACCCGGTCTACTTCTGATAGTGTCATTTGTAGTGCGTTTTTGTGTCTGTAGGCCAGTCTGTCTTTGGGAAGATAACCCATGAAATATTTTGTACCACAGTGTAAATTCTACCTTGTTTTGTGTTGTTTAGTTTTTTTGAACTTCACATCTTCATAGTGTACCCAATGAAGATACTCGTCTAGCCAATTGTTTGACGATTTGTACGGATGTCTTCTTTTTTTCAAGCCGTAGATTCCATTTTACTTTGGTTCAAACAGCACTTGCCCAACAGGTTATACCCCAGAAGTTTCTGAGCGTAATCATTTCCTCATATTGAGATAACTTTGGGCTTCCTTTGCTAGGCGGTATACCACACGGATCTCGCTTTACCGTTCGCAGGTAGGCGCTGCTTCCACCCAGAAGCTTATCCCACACGACGTCGGCCAAAATTTCTCTGCGCGGGCTAGCCTGACATCAAGCAGAGATCTGATTGGTCAAAAGTCTCGACCCAACAGCCAATCATGACCCAGTATCGGCCGAATGCTGGTAGTCAATGGCGCATCCAGAAGGCGCCAAAATCTCCAGAGGGCTGTTGCCGCTTAGACTGTGTAGGACGAATTGTACCAGTGTTCTTGCTTTCTTTTTGGGGGTCGGTATAGGTCGTACACCTTTGGTGATCGCGTTCGACGTGAACGCCAGCTTGGGATGATCATACCCAGAACTCATTCGAGGTAAATACAGTTAAGACATTCCTACAAAACGTGCTGTCCGACAAGGCTATTCGAACAAGAACGGAAAAAGTGTTTTAATGATCGCACGTACCAGGCTGAAGTAAGATCTGTGTTTTCGTGTGTGTGCGAGACCTGGCTTCTGTGAATAGAGAATGGGGCTTCTTCAGGTTTTCGTCCACCGATGCCTCCACTGTTGTTTGTTTTCAATGGCGTCAACGGATTAGTGACGAGGTGAAAACGGGTATTCGGCTGTGCAGCAGGTATTCCAATCGCGGAAAACCCAGCACCACCGACTAAGATGGTTCGATCATGTCCTACGCACGCCGAAACACCGTCTTCCGTGATGAGTGTTGTTCCCTGCACCTCCTTCAAAATGGCGCAAACCGCGAGGTGAACTGCGTGTGACTTGGCATAAAGATGTGAAGGCGGTTAAGAAGAGCTTGAGTGTTCTTGATGCGGTCCGCCTTCTAGGATGAGGTCTGCGTGACACCTACGTTTGGATAAAGGCATTGCAAGAAGTGACGGCCGATCGGTGTCAATGGCGTTCGTGCTGGCAGTTTCTTTCGAGATTGTTTGGTTGAGCGCCTGTAGTTGTGGGCACCTCAGAATGCTTGACATAGGTCAGCAGTAGATCTCTGCTCTCACCCACATTTTTATTCTCTTATCACTTCAAGGTCTTAAATATATTTGAATGAACTTTGTGGTTGTACGGAAATCAAACATCAGTGTTGACACTCGTGTTGCTGTCTCTGATGATGATGGTATCTGAAATAGGATTCGACACTCATATACGATTGTTGGATTCCCCTCGCCGCGTCGTTTAGGACGCCTTGAGTGCCGTGCTGCAGTAGGTTGTGAGCTCAGGATTGGTGTGTTTGTCGGAGATATGACTGCGCATGGGAGTAGATTTAGGGCTTCTGAAGATCAGCTGGATTTTTGTGTAGGACTGAAATCGGGAGGCGAATGCCTCCTGCAGTTATGCGCTAAACGCAAGCTGTTTCTGAGCCGTACTAACTTCCGGAATAACCTAAGCCACTTAACAGCCACGCAAAATGCGTACACCTCGTCTGGCCGTTAAGGAACTGTCGGACCCTAATGTGAAACCAGTATACCAGAATTATCTACTTCGCAACCATTTGACCAGCCAGTTGTAAGCACCGGATCTCGAGTGACACTGGAAAAAATTGTTCAAAGCTGGGTGTTAAAAGGACTGCCTCCAAACAATTTGTCTTGTATAGTAAAACTTTGTTTTCTACATTTCAGCCTTCGATTGACATCCCATTACACTTGGAGCCTTTTTTATATTCTGGTTCAGTTGAATTCCATATCACGGATAGATTCGGTGGCTCTCAGTGCAAATTCCTCATGGTCATTCATCTTCTCGATTCCGGTGTACTGACAAGCCTACTTGATACATCCGTAAAGACCATAACATTCGACACATTCCTCCTAGTCGAGTGTACGGTACCCTTCGGTGAACTATTAGGCTTCGGTCAAAAAATCGCAGATCGAGAAGTTTGGTGGATCCAGAGAGCTGAAGAGAAAAACCCTGGGAATGCGTTTGAAGTGTACCAGCTGATACGCGCAACTGAGCGAAACAACCACTGATAACAACGTCTTGGTTATCTGTCAATAAATGAGAGCCCCTCGATCATTGGGCTGTGCACTTTCAAGACCATTGCGACTGGCTTTTGCAGTTGCTCAGCAGGATTCCCAACCGGCTATGCACCCCTAGACAGTGAACTTGGAAACTCTGATGACTGCGGAAATAAGCGAACGCTTTCTGTCTCTCGAGCATCACCGATCTTCTGGTCCTGACGAACCCCAACCCACTGTGCTAAAAGATGGACACGAAGTGGTCAGTCGGCACTTGTCTTACTTGTTTGGGAAGAGGCCACCACAACTGACTTGGTGTCAATTTTGAAAAAATACTCCCTGTGAGTCATTATCAGTCACCACCACAAAGCAACATGAGTGTTAACACTGGTGCTTCACTGCCATACGACCACAAATTTCACCTTATATTCAAAGCCTTACAGTGGAAAGAAGAGAGAAGAGTTGATGAGGGACGGGATGTGTTGCTTGCCTATCGCATGTATTCTACGCTTAATCTGACAATCTGAACGAAACTGACAGCACCACCATCATCAAAGACTACAACATCAGCCTGACAATCTGAACGAAACTGACAGCACCATCATCATCAAAGACTACAACATCAGTGTTGGCAATGATGCTTCACTCCCGTAAAACTGACAGCACGAACGCCACCGATATCGATCAGCCGCCATTTCTTGCAATGTCTCCAGCCAAGTGCAGGATGAATCAGAAGACCCCATCCTGGAAGGCAGACCGCACCAAGAATACAAACTGTTTGCAATCTTTTCCACACTCTTCTGCCAAGTCGTACATTACCAATCTCGGCTTCTTCCCGTGTTTGGTCGTTCGTAGCACATGGCTGAGTCATTGTGGTTGACTGTGCTGGATGCTTTCCGCGATTGAAATTCCTCCCGCACAACCAAGTACACGTTTCCAAATAGCCTCCTTACGCATCTGTTGACGCGCTCCGAGGCATCAGTGGTAAAAATAACCTGAAGATGCCTCACGTCATCCGTCCGCAGAAGCCATTTGTCCCAACCGTACGGCAACACAGCCCTTACTGTGACCTGGTACATGTGACGCGTAAGACCTAGTGACATGCCGTTTCAACTGCGCAAATGATGCGCACTCAGGAGCGCAATGCCGACCTAGATTCGTGGGTTCACTTGGTCTGTCATGTTACTGTGGGAGTTGATGCAACTTACGGGATACGTATAGTGTTTTACGCTACGTCTTGTTGGTTCCGTTTTCAAGGGCATGTCATGCTTCTCAGCATGACTTGGCTCTTCGTGGGTCCCAAACACGCTGAGTGACTGGATGACCTCAGTCATCCTTTCTAGTAATGCTTTCGCCTCCTTACTTTCAGAAGATGATACTGTCGTCTGCATATTCCAGGTCAACAAGGATCTCACTCAGGAACCCTCAGTTGGGATTATCGGGATCTTCCAGCATTCATCTCATTATCTCATCGATGACGAAATTAAAATTGATGAAAGTGTACAACTTTGTTTATCATCTATTATAGTGAAAACAGTACATCAGCCATACATAGTGGTGCTTAACTGCCATAAGAGCATAGCGGAGAAATCGTTAGTAAAGGGTGAAAAGAAAAGAGGAAGTACTGGAACTAGCGCGAAGAAGCCTCATTTCTTTAGGGATCGACCCCTCGTCCTTTTCGAATCTTGTCAAACCTCAGCTTAGCCCATAATAACAAGGGAACTTTAACTAGGCCGTTAGGCTGTGCGCTATTGGGATCGGTTGCTTGCCATGTGCTGCAGGATTTTCAACCAGCTGCAAACAAGATCAAGCCAGGAAGGTTCGAAGATCCTACAGCACTGATGTTGACTATGGCCGCTCTCATTTCACGCCACCTTTTCATGCCTTATCCCCAGTGAACCAACAATCGCTCGGCACAGAAAACAGCGTTTTCTTCGGTAGATATTGGCTGCTAATCTAATGAATCGGATTCGTACCCGCTTACGCGCCACTCCGTTGCAGACTCGCTGCAGGCAGCTTACTCGGAGGCACCGGTGATCAAACACTTAGAAACGCCTTCGGTTCTCGGATGAGAGGGCCCAATCTCAACCATGGAGTAATATACCATTACAGTTTTCATGTATACAGGCCCTTTAGCCTGAACGAAGTTCGGTTCTCAAGCCATAAATGATTGAAGCTGGCGAGCTCATTGTTGGACATCATTGCTGATAGGAAAGCTTTTGGAGCCCCTTTACCCTCTCACCCACACGTCCACTAGTAATTGGCCTCAAACAGCGTGGGGTATTCACCAACTTCCGGAGCCTGCCTTGTTGCACAAATGTGTTGAAAAGAACAAACCGGTCGGCAGAGTTGAACGCATCCTTGAAGTCAAGCTGTCGATGTTCTTTTGTGTCTAGTGTCTGGCCTGGAATTTTTAACGCCCCAGTCGACAGCGACTACCGATTATTCCGGCAATTACTAGTCGTGATCGTCATAGTATATATTCAGCCTCGTAGAAGCGGAATCTCGTGAAACTACCTTCCCCTATGCTGCCAATGGAAATGGTTTCTACCCAGACATACTTCGGAAATGGTTTCGAATACCTGGCGGCTAACTTTCGACTCAGGTTAACACCACTTCATGGCCGGTCCTTCCTGCGCTACTCTCACTTCAAACAACTCTTCAGTGGTTTAGAGCCGCGTCAGCGCGGGTAGATCACTGAGACCTGTACACAGGAGACCCATATCTGGGTGTACTGGTAGCTACTATAGGTCAGTCGGTATGGTGCTGGTTACTGATGCCCAAAAGCGTGTGGCAACGAATAGTCCCCGACTTCGGTGACCCTACTGGATGCAGGGGTACGGTGCTAGAGAAACTGTTTGTTCGAGTAGAACAAAATTGCGGAGTAATTCGGACGCTGATCGCCTGGCCTGGAGGGCGCCGTCAAATCTAGTCAGCATTCGTGCACAACGCTTCATTTTGCGTAATGTTCCTGACTCCAAGGAGTAATTGCATGATGCCACCCCCTTTACCTGGTAAATGGGTACGAAAGAGATCGCAAAATGTCTGGGTGCTGTCGGTTCTAATTGCCTTTCAGGATGGGTACCGCGTGAACCCAATTGTGCCTATTGTAAATACTGCAAATATGTCTGCTACCCGATGTCAGTGGCGTTCTTGCTTTCAGTTTTTATCCAGGTTGCTGTAATGAGTATCTGGAGGTTGAAATGATTGTAGTAAGCTATCACTATTTTTTTTGTCCGCTCAATTCTATTCTTTTCTTCACCTTAAGTTTTTCAAATAAATCATGGTTGTACGACAGTGAAATATCACTGCTGGACATTGATGTAATACTGTCGATAATGATGATGGGGGGAGGAAGGCGAGATTGCTCAAGTGGTTAGGGCGCGAATTTACCAACCAGCAGGTCCGTGGTTCGAATCCGACGTCTTCATCTCGACTCGCCCTGTCTAAGCTTCCTCATCCTCGGAGTGTCTCAGCCCCCATGCTTCCTTCGGGTGGTATGGCAGCTAGGCACCAGAACGATGAGCGATTTTTAATAATAATGATGAAGGTGATTGCTGGATGTCTTATTGCGGTCGAGGTGTCTATAGTCCATTCTGTATCTTTTAATCTCCCCAAGATGGTCAGCTTCCTGTAGCAATAACCATCTAACACCCAATAAGAAGGGTGACCGCACTGTCTTCATTTCTGGCTTAAAACGAGGAATGCTGTCCACAAGCCACTTCTTGGAGGATGAACTTCATCAATTCGACAATGGTGTTCAACGTGACGATTTTACAACTGTCAGCCCTGACCTCGAGACAGCTGAGCGGTTAAGGTGTGAACTTACTAACCAGAAGATCCTCTATTAAGACCCGACCTCTGCATCTGGACTGCCCTTGTATGGACTTGGACGACTTCGGTGTCTCAGCTCTTGTGCTTCCTTCGAGGGACGTGGCAGCTGCATACTGAAAGGATGTTAGAGCAGAACGATTATTCTTTTGATATTAAGCTGGATAACCTGGTTAACACCGCGCCCACCTGTATTTTGCGCCCGTATGCCAAAAAACCACTTTGGTTTGGTGATGAGGCTACAACATTCTCATGGTCTCGCATCGAAGCCTCTGAGCTGGATACCGATGTTATGCTGATGACCATAGTGATAATTAGCCTGGAAGAACAACGCACTAACTGGATAATGATATGAGTGTTATAAACTGGTGCAACCAATGTGGTGCTGTGGGAACACACAGCATAATTTGACGGCTGATGGTCACCGCACACAAGCGTCACTACGCCCACATGACGGGAGGAGCATGAGTGGGAAACGGTCGAGGACAAGGCGTTTCCATTCGCTATGCACTATTCTTCAGTTTTTCCTATCAAAAGACTCAGGGTCCGCGCCATTACTGTTGACGGCGCAATCCGTAGTTACTTTGCATCCGGTAATGGCAGAAGAGGTTCAGAGGAATCGTTTTCGAAAAAGTTTGGTGACAGTCGGTAGATTTATTGCTGGGCAACGTTTCGCTTTTGAGGAAGTTGTTGCTTCAGAGGAACTTGTTGCTGCTAAGCCACGAAAAGTCATTTGGCTCATGTGGGCTGCACCTATAACTACTGAAGGGACTGGCCAAACTCGGTTATTTCGCTGACTCATATTCGGTCAATCGAAAGTAGGAATGATCCCGTATTAGCGGAAGAGTGCGATTATTAATCATCACGAGCTTCAGAAACTGTCAATAAATTGTCGTCCTGCTGGCGTGACACGTGCCCGTGTACAGTTGTGAAGGACATTAAAAAGCGCCTTCTTCATCGCACAGACCCTTGATCTATTTCCTCTCAATCAACATGCCATTCCGCAACTGCATATATAACTCGGGTTCCACTGCCTCTAACACCGACTGATAACATTCAGCCTCTTACTCACCTTCAGGACAGTTTCTATCTCCCCTCTCAGTCTATCTTTACTGAGACGGGAAATGCCGTGACGAACTCACACCTTTCGTCCCTCTTCCCGAGCCATTCTCTCGTACGACTTGCTTCTTCACTTGCGTTGCCTCAACTGCGCATGTGGAACTGCACTGCTCTGTTTTATTAACTGCTTAAGTATTCATCTGTTTGCGCCTTGCGTTGAAGTCAATCATTCCTGGCACTGTCTCACTTGTGTGACTCATTATTTATGCCCTCTTTGTGTCTGGGTATGTTTCTACGTTCGTTTTACCACGTCTTCATCCTTACAGAAGCCTTCGACTTTGTCATCTCTATCCCCGAAATGCCACACGCTAGTGATAAGTAGCCCATTGAATTGTACACTGATTCATGGAATAAATCGGTTTTAATCAAGATATATGGTATCGACCATATAACAAGGGATGTAGTGGAATATCCGTTCAAGCCTATAAGGGGCGAGGTGGACCAAGTAGTTAGAGCGCGAATTTACTGATCGGAAGGTCCGTTGTTCGAACCCGACCTCTGCCACTCGGCTTCCCCTGTCTGGGCTTGGGCGACCTGGCAGTATCCCAGCCCTTGTGCCTCCTCCGTGTGGCATGGCAGCTAGGCACCGAAAGGGTGCTACAGCTGAACGATTTTTTTTAGCCTTGTGAGCAATGAAAGACACGGGTGTTTTGTGACAGGCAATAGCCTCATGACGGATATACTGTATATGGCAAATGGCCGATCTCGTTTGAGCCCCGGAACCTTCATGGTTGACGAGATGCCGAGATGGCCCGAGTGGTTAGAGCGCGAATTTACTGACCGGAAGGTTTGTAGTTCGAACCCGACCTCTTCCTCTCGACCTCCCCTGTCTAGACTCAAGCAACCTGGCAGTATCCCAGTTCTCTTGCTTCCTTCGGGTGGCATGCCAGCTAGGCACCAAAATGGTCTGTTTATCCTTGGCCCTAAATCTCCATTTGCGATTGCCCTAAGCGGTATTTTTTCATTTTTCAGCACTGTAGGCATGTACGCACGCAGTGTTTCTGGGACAAAAACCTCCATCGCACTGAATGGGTCATCCGACTCGGAACTGAGTAACCATAAACCAGATTGGCTTCATGATCTACGCTTTCTCCCACCCATATACCACCGTGTGATCACGGCGACAACAACCAGGTAAGCTACGCCATAAGCCTTGGACTTGGGCCGTAAAACTTTTATGTGTGGTTACTCTGTTGCATGCATGATGGCCCTTGCACCTGGAATACTACAAGATATAATCGTCAACCGACTGTGGTGATGCTCTGGTTGCCACATTCCACACTGTTTGGTGGCATGTTTCGGATCTATAATATGGACCATCTGTGATAGGTTTCCACTAACCATTCCCGTTTCTTATTCTGTACTTCACCTATGCCGTGGTGAACTAACGGTGTCAGTAGTGCCCATTGGATGATCTACGCTTTCTCCCACCCATATACCACCGTGTGATCGTGGCGACAACAACCAGGTAAGCTACGCCATAAGCCTTGGACTTGGGCCGTAAAACTTTTATGTGTGGTTACTCTGTTGCATGCATGACGGCCCTTGCACCTGGAATACTACATGATATAATCGTCAAACGACTGTGGTGATGCTCTGGTTGCCACATTCCACACTGTTTGGTGGCATGTTTCGGATCTATAATATGGACCACCTGTGATAGGTTTCCACTAACCATTCCCGTTTCTTATTCTGTACTTCACCTATGCCGTGGTGGACTACCGGTGTCAGTAGTGCCCATTGGTTTGTTACGAAACCAGATTATCTGACGCTTCATTATATGGTATATAGTCGGCCTTCCTCATACAGACGCGTATAGCAGAAACGGCAACTGAGAAGCGCATGTTGTTGGGAGGATGTTAAGGCGTTGTGCATGGTTTCAAACCAGTCCTAGAGAGGTTGATGCACATCACTCAATAACAAGGAAGCGAATTCGTCAGACCAGATCGTAGCGTCTCCGGCAGTGTAATGACGTTGGCAGTCAGAACATCACTGTGACCCACTATACCATTGTTCAAGCCCGAGTACACATGGTGCTGATGGCTCTTGCAAGAGCAGACAGCCCTTGCTCCAGCTGTTAATGGCTTGATAAAACGTCAGGGAGTGGTATTTTTAATCGTTATTTTTGTTTAGTGTATCTTACTTGCTTGTAAGCTAATCATAGGGAAACCCGTTGATATTGTCCCAAATAGTAGGTTGAATACTGACGTCTTGGGGCGACATCTGACACCTTTAACCTAGGTATTTCCGACTGGCACAGAAGGAGTCCTATCGGAAATCTGCTCTTCTGAAAGGATACCCTCAGGCGACAGCGCATTTACTCCTGACCATGACACCAGTTTTTTTTACCGCTTACTGAGGGTGTATGTTCGTACTAATGATCTGTCTTTTATGACATACCATACAGCTACATAGTAAGAGTCTAACAACCAACGTCAACGTGAACATCACTCATTAAGTCAAGGCGGTCTACCTGGAGGGATATGCAATTTTATTGGTGGGCCTCAACACAGAATAGCCTCGATTCGCATACGCGTATTTCTTTGTCCAGTCATTGTTGAGAGTTTGGTGTGCATATTCTGTGTCAGACAGTTCGCGGACGGTTCCTTTGCACTACCAACTTCTGCAACATCCAAGATTTGGTCACATGTTCCCCACAGAGTATATCAGCCCCAATCAATCAGTCAATTAATCAGCTATAAACGTGTGCCATAAGCACATTGATTCCAGCTAGTTTCGATAACAGGAAAACGGGGAAGTGGAACATACAACCAAACGAAGACATGTTCCGTTTGTTCAGAAATGGGGTATATCAGCTCCGAACCCGAATAGATCACAGTGCCACCAGTTACTGGTGGTGAGGATTGAGTACCGCCTGCCACTTCTGAAAAATCTGTGCTGACCCCGGTCACGCATTAATTTGATGCTGTTTTTCATTGCCTCTCATTTTTGCGCACACCTACCAGCGTTAACAGAATGGAAAGCGTGGAACTGGCAAGCGTGTGGAGAACGGTCTTGGGTCATTCGAGCTAACACGTGTTGGTGTGCGATCATCAGAGGGAAGAGTAGTCATCACCTGAACTCCACTTAACCTTACGCACCTCCCCTCCCCCCAACTAAATTGTCGTAACATTCACATCCCCCGGTGATCAAGGATCTACCAGTGGCACCCGGGGTGAATCGTCAAGTGAAGCACCCCGAAGTGGAAGATTAAGGAATGAAAAGCGATCGGAAGTAATTTGAAACTCCTCCAACCCACCAATTCAAGATTTTGACACCCACGCTAGCCGACAAGAGCTGTTAATTGACACTCAACACTGATCTAGTGTGAAGAGGACTTACTGATTGGTTCCCCGTCTGTCTTATAACCTGGCCAATTTGTTGACCTGTTCACTTGGCCTGATGAAGCTTTTGTGTCAAAAGCGAAACGTTGCCCAAATAAAAACTACCGATTGTTTACCAAGCTCTTCTGAAACATGTTCCGTTTGTTCAGAAATGGGGTATATCAGCTCCGAACCCGAATAGATCACAGTGCCACCAGTTTCTGGTGGTGAGGATTGAGTACCGCCTGCCACTTCTTAAAAATCTGTGCTAACCCCGGTCACGCATTAATTTGATGCTGTTTTTCATTGCCTCTCATTTTTGCGCACACCTCGCTGGGCCATTAAGAAGCTCATAGACTCAGAAATTATCAAAACCAACTTCTCCAACACTGTCCACTTGTTCCATGTCGGGCGTTAACTGTCATTGGAGGGAGATACCCAAAGGTATTCTTGATGGCAGAACTTCTATCTGCAACACAACACGTCCATCGTCACTCTAACATCTAGACACTTAATTTGATTATGTAATAGATTCCTTCCAGATGTAACCACAGTCCAACTGAACGCATCATCCGACTCCAGGTAGCACCGAGTGACTACGGAGACCAGGAAGCTTGATGAATCCAGAAGATCGAAAGAAGGGGCGATGCTAAAAGCACTGGAAATATCCACAGGTAGCTCCCTATTGGAGGTCTTCAAAAGCCTCTTGTCAGTGAAACCATCAGGGACCATAATGGTTGTCTAGTTTCTAACAGAATTTTGGAACAAAGGTATACACCGAATATAGTGGCAGTTTTATATAACCTGGCAGTTGTCTCGGCTCTGACGAAGTCAATGCACGACAGTCAAAGACCGATAGTCAACTTCCTTTTGAAAGTTAGTCAGTGTAGAAACATGTGCCTTAAAGTGTCAAGCTTGATAGCTATGTTAGACTTAGTAGTTCTCGATCAGATAGTTTTTGTTGTTTGCCGAGCTTACCGGGCTTTTAAACCCACCCCTGTATGACCTCTCCCTGGCTGATAACGAAACTAAGACCAATAAGCGTCTGTTAGGAATGGCCAACGGGACCATAAAATAAAAATCTTAAATCATGCAGCTGTATCACCCTTTAGGTGCCTAACTGTCATGCAACCCGAAGGGAGCACGAGGGCTGGGATACAGCCACGTTGCCCAAGCCTGGATAATGGAAGTCGAGGGACAGAGGTCGGGTTCGAGCCATCTGGCCCCCGAGACCAAACAAAAGAATTATGAGAACATTCTTGTGGCAAAGTTGCTGGATTGCGTCCTCTGCAGCTAATTGTCTGGCCATCCGGTATTTTACTACCATCGTGGGATGCTCAATGAATGCAACACGTACCGGAACACTCAGTTATTATACCACATGGACGATTGATTAGTTAAAACCATAAGTGACACATTTCTTCCTACCGATCATCACGACTTTGCATAGCAGCGTGCGGTTGTATGTTTCTTTACTGTCTCTCGACTCATTACTATTGTCAGTATCACTGCAGCCTCTATATTTTTCTGCCGAATGACTACGGGACTTACATCTTCTTCAATCACTTGTAGCTACGGCTTGGATAGTCGGCTGATTTGCCAAATTTTCTCTTCATCTGGCCTCAGTGACAAAACGCTACAACACATTTGGACAATGGTGAACCATTCACATCCTGGTTGGCTCACTCCATCCGAATTGGTTCTGGCTTTAGCTCTCATAGGCGTCGCCCAACGCGAGCAGTTCGATCTACGCAAACCGGAAGACTTGATTTTGTCCCATCTGACCGTGAACTATTTAAACGGCTTTACAACTCCGCCCGTTCCGCGAATCAGTGTGCCCATTGCGCCCCCTATAACATCGAATGGTCCCGTGATTACGACACAAGTATCCTTCACACCGCCACCTATTTCGATTCCAAAGACTACATCAACAAACTGTTCTAATGGTTTTCCGGCTCATCCCGATGATGACTGGGCCGACTTCACATCCTTCGAAAAAGTGGTAAGCAGCCTGTTCGTACCTTTCCCTTGGCTACTCAATACACATGATGATGTTCCAATCCCCTGCGCAGGCTGTTTTAAGATACTTTCCCAACTCTCCTCAGCTTACCAAGTTTTTGCAAAAGCTTGATATAATTATTTGCAAATCAGTTTTCACGGGAGACTCAATTGAATCTCTCGATTATGATGTTTTCCTTTTGCAGCACATTCAGCTGAAGGACATCACAAACGAGAGATTCAGTTGAGTCTCCCATTAAAACCAAATTGGTTCGCAAATGAGTGTATTTCTCGAAAACAGTGCAATTTGGGTTCAAGTAGATCATAAGGTTGACGGAAACTCGGGGACTGCGCCTACCTGATGAGCCCCAAGAAGGGCGAAACCGGTCGTGGGCTGTCGAAGAGTTTCCAGCAACCTCGTGAGTAGTTTCCTTGATAGAATCGTTTACAATGGGGGTTTAGATTATCTTACTCATTGGACCGCTCACTCAGTGATTTTGGCTGTTTTATTCTATTCCGTTTTTATTCATTTTGATCTGTATGACTCGGACGGATTTTCCTGACTGCAAACTTGCTGGGTCACCAGTTCTTGTTTCGGTTTCATTAACACAATTGGGACCTATTCACGGATGATCGAAAGGGAACTACTGAATTCCTTGTAGTGGAATCCAGCCATGTAATCACGTCAGTGTCCGTCTTTTCCAAGGCAACAGCGAAGTTCCTACACTGCCATTTTGCAGCGATGTTCCTCCGAGTGATCAGAGAGACTTTCCGAAGTGGAGGTTACTCCCATCGATAGGCCACAAAAGTTTTCTGTGTCATCCACGACGAACTCGGCACTCACCCTGGTCAGAGGCAATCTTTGCAAGCTCTGAAATTTGGGAAAAAATATAGGTAGTCTTTGTTTTCCCCTTTTCATCGATCAGGGCATTCTGGTGCCATTTTATGTCAACTACGTTATCTAACGCATCAGCCCGTAAAGCGCAATCGCAATATAGTTTGCGTCGCCCATCAAACCAACTTAGAACTATCACCACGTTTAGAATTTAAGGTACTGCCTATATATATATATATATATATATATATATATATATATANCACGAGCTAACCACTGGGGCGATATTGTATCATTTCTATGCGCACAAGTATTTATTCCTGCACCTTCTTCGTTCTCTGGCAGACTGCGGATGCTCCCAAGCTGGCCGATGCATCCCGGATACTGGGCAACGGTATCTGCCCTGACTTGATTGAACATTGTACACAGTAAGTCAGTAGTTGATTTCAGGAGTATTTCATCCAGCTGCGCGACTATTTGTCTCATCTCTTTCGAATTAAATCACAGTGTTTTTTTTCACTTTGATATGCACAATGTATCCGGATCGAGGGCACGAAATTTGTGTCCTCTTGTGAAGCTTCAACTGAAATCTACAAAGAGGCAAAACACAACTATATTTCGTAGAAAGAAAAGAAGAAAGCGTTCAGCTGCTTAGCTGCCATGCCACCCGAAGGAAGCATGAGGGCTAGGATACTGCCAGGTTGCCCAAGCCCAGACAGGGGAAGTCGAGAGGCGGAGGTCGGATTCGAACCATGGACCTTCCGGTCAGTAAATTCGCGCTCTAATTACTTGGGCCATCTCGCCCATCCCTTCGTACGTGTCTCTCTGTTGGCACTGGGACTTTTGAGACATGTAATGCCTCTATGAATGCCACTAGACTACAGTAACCAATATTCACGCCAACTCATTCTGGAGAACAAGCGCTCAGTTTTCTCACCCAAAGGCGTGAGGCCGATATTCTGACCAATCAAGGGGTGCCTTCGTTTAGTCCGCAGCCCCCGTGTGACACATCCGTCCAATCGTGATGTTTGGTTATTAGGAGCCGCTGGTCTCCGGACGGTGCCATGGTCACTTTGCGGTGTAGTTTCCAATTTTGACCCGACATCTTTTCACACTACAGGACATCCTCATTGTGGCATCAGACTTGTGATAATTTGATGTTGTCCCCCTGTGTTCAATCCCATCGGTGTTATATCCGGCGGTACACTGCTCACGCTGTCGTCCGGAAAGTTACTGCCACCCGATTTACAGGAACCACTTGTTGTGGTTCACCCTTGTTTGTGGTTAAGGCCTTCAAATTAGACACGAATAATCGGTCTGATCACGCAAGTTCCTCGTTGGCGTTCCGCGATACTCATCGCCTGAAGTCGGACATTTCAGTCTCTTGATTCGTTCTGATCCAACACTTCAAGAATATTGCTTGCTCTTGTGTCCGTTTGTCACTCTCAGTCTTCCACTTTTACCTCCTTAGACATTAGCCTGCAATCTCCAGTACTTTTGGACGTAAAGTCTGTTTACTTATACATGTTTACCACTGGTCAAACGTCAGCGACGGGTCCTAACTTGTTACTCACCTGAGCGGCACCCAATCGGACCCCTCCTCCCAAGTAAGCTTTCTGGGTGACCTTAATGTCCAACTGTCGTAGCTTGCTAAACGGTAGTGCAACTCTGTATCGGTCTCTTGGCTTCCTGCTCCGCCCACTATGGTATATCAAAAGCCACGGTAGCTCTACACATCCTTTTATGGAGACAAAGGAAGTATTATTACAACTGTATTTATAGTGTAAGCACAGAGTGTTCCACAAGGTTGTGCCAGAATGTCCGTGAGGGGACGAGAAGCGTCGAGTCAAAGTTGCTTGACTCGGATTGGCTGGTATTCTGACCAATCAGGGCATGCCTTCGTTTGACCCGCTTCCTGCACATGATGCATCCGTCCAAACGATGTGATGTTCGGTTATTAGGAAAGGCTGGCCTCCGTACACCACCTCCCTGAATTACTCACCCCGTCCTCTAACATCAACAAATTCGTAAGGCAGAGCCAGTTCCTATCACTGGCTGCTAATCGATTAATGTGGCCTTCCTCACTTCCACATAGTGATGGTGACACTCCACAAACCGTGTTTCTTCCCCACTACACCCCTCTCAATATTCCGCCATATTATCCGCCTCCAAGCCTTTCTGATCACTGTCTCACCAGAATTTATACGTCAGTTATTCGATCCGTATCCGCACACCCGCTGTATTGCGAATGACCGTTAATGTGTACATCCTGGTTGAATTGTCTATTTATTCCCTAGTATGGGTTTGTCACTAATCTTGCTTACTCCTGTAAACCGATGAATCGTTCGATTCNTGGTCTCCGGACGGTGCCATGGTCACTTTGCGGTGTAGTTTCCAATTTTGACCCGACATCTTTTCACACTACAGGACATCCTCATTGTGGCATCAGACTTGTGATAATTTGATGTTGTCCCCCTGTGTTCAATCCCATCGGTGTTATATCCGGCGGTACACTGCTCACGCTGTCGTCCGGAAAGTTACTGCCACCCGATTTACAGGAACCACTTGTTGTGGTTCACCCTTGTTTGTGGTTAAGGCCTTCAAATTAGACACGAATAATCGGTCTGATCACGCAAGTTCCTCGTTGGCGTTCCGCGATACTCATCGCCTGAAGTCGGACATTTCAGTCTCTTGATTCGTTCTGATCCAACACTTCAAGAATATTGCTTGCTCTTGTGTCCGTTTGTCACTCTCAGTCTTCCACTTTTACCTCCTTAGACATTAGCCTGCAATCTCCAGTACTTTTGGACGTAAAGTCTGTTTACTTATACATGTTTACCACTGGTCAAACGTCAGCGACGGGTCCTAACTTGTTACTCACCTGAGCGGCACCCAATCGGACCCCTCCTCCCAAGTAAGCTTTCTGGGTGACCTTAATGTCCAACTGTCGTAGCTTGCTAAACGGTAGTGCAACTCTGTATCGGTCTCTTGGCTTCCTGCTCCGCCCACTATGGTATATCAAAAGCCACGGTAGCTCTACACATCCTTTTATGGAGACAAAGGAAGTATTATTACAACTGTATTTATAGTGTAAGCACAGAGTGTTCCACAAGGTTGTGCCAGAATGTCCGTGAGGGGACGAGAAGCGTCGAGTCAAAGTTGCTTGACTCGGATTGGCTGGTATTCTGACCAATCAGGGCATGCCTTCGTTTGGCCCGCTTCCTGCACATGATGCGTCCAACCAAACGATGTGATGTTCGGTTATTAGGAAAGGCTGGCCTCCGTACACCACCTCCCCGAATTACTCACCCCGTCCTCTAACATCAACAAATTCGTAAGGCAGAGCCAGTTCCTATCACTGGCTGCTAATCGATTAATGTGGCCTTCCTCACTTCCACATAGTGATGGTGACACTCCACAAACCGTGTTTCTTCCCCACTACACCCCTCTCAATATTCCGCCATATTATCCGCCTCCAAGCCTTTCTGATCACTGTCTCACCAGAATTTATACGTCAGTTATTCGATCCGTATCCGCACACCCGCTGTATTGCGAATGACCGTTAATGTGTACATCCTGGTTGAATTGTCTATTTATTCCCTAGTATGGGTTTGTCACTAATCTTGCTTACTCCTGTAAACCGATGAATCGTTCGATTCGGCTCTTTTGAGGGCATCCTACTGTGTATTATAACCGTTTCGACTGCGTGCTTGGTGGAAGCTCCTGCACGACCGAGACAGAAGATGCGCTTACTAATCAGACATACACTTCAGTGCTTCATAGCGAAAGGTGCTCCCTGGTTTTTTACCCATCGCCGGCTCATAATGCCTTCAAATTTGCTCCACATGAGAAAGTTGAGCTCCGTTCTTCCATTTGCTCTTGTTTCGACTTGCCCTACGTCCTATTTTTCTTTTTCTACATCACAGACCACCCTGTGAAACGTTCTCTAAGTTCGTATTTTGAAGTCGCTGTGTATATTGCGTAACAGAACTCACAGTTGATTTACTCTTAAATGACCATCTGATTAGTCAGAATGAGTTGACTGCAGGAATGTCTCGGATAGCAGTTGTCTATGAGCGGCGATCGGCTTCTAGGTCTGAACAACTTGACCCTCTTTGCTGCCTCCTGCAATGGGGAAAACCAAGCTGTCCTATGTTGGCTTTGATCTTTAGTTTTCCTTCGAGGTAGCAACGTTAACCTCAGAGGGTTGTTGAAGAATTCCAGTACCTTTTTTGAGTGGTAGTTACCAAAGCCTTTGAGGAGCTGAATATATTCGGTTTATACAGCCTCTTTCGGGACGGAAAGCACCTTGATTTGATCCTTGAATGCATCAGACAGAAGGCGAATATTTTGGCTACAATCTCGGTCAGACTGACCCATACTAGTTCGCCCTTTGGGGAGTGGCAGTATTGATCGGGTGCACCACTCCAATACATATTCTACTCTCTCTTTTGGGAAGCATACGTCGTGGAAAAACTGGCGAGGGGCGGATAGGCAGTACTCATAGATTTTACTTAGGATCCCGTTTTCCCCAGGGGATTTTGCCTTTTTCAGTCTGGTAGTCCTGACGATATCCAGCTCTCTTAATTCTTCCCCACACGTTGTATTGGATGGGTACAAACTAGTAGTTCAAAATAACCCAACCCGCATTACTCCCTCTCGGCCACCAATGTGCACCTCGTTTACGTCGCTGGGGCTGCACTTTGCCCAAAGTCGTTCGTATGATGGGAAGATAAAGTTGGCCGATGGTTGACGTTGGATACCGATTCTACGATTGTTGCCATATCCCACCAATACTAGATACGATCCTTCCTGGTGGACGGCGCGGCTTGTTGCTGCAGATTGCGATACTTGGCTGCTTTGGTTAGGTGTGTTTGTCTTGTCCCTTGGGTTAATTCATGGTGTCCGCAAATATACAGTTTCTTTACGTCGTCGCACATACCATAGCTGATCTTTGATAGTTTGTTTTATCGAGGCTTTCGTTGGTGTCCACTGGTCGTTTCTCATTACCAATCAATTTTCAGACTGGTTAGGCTGATGACGTCTAATATCGTGGTTGTAGATCTTGATAGCATTTTTTTGGTTTTTCAGGCTTTGCGGTACAATGCTTCTGTTCTCGAAGGGCATGTCTAGCAGTGAGTTGGGGTTTGATCTTAGTATGAGCAAACTTATGGTTCGTACCCCGCGTGTCTCAAGTAGCAACGCCTCTGTATGACCTACAATCTTCATTTGAAGATTCCCCCGTGTATGCACCAAAAATATGGCCCACCTGCGGGGTTATGTGACCGTCGCTCATTTATTGAGCCTATCTTCATTCTAGCCTAGCCGTCGGAAACCAAATTGATCATGTAGGTGGTGAATTTTGCCCCTCCCGTCCGCACAGTTACTCGCTGTCATCAAAAGGATATTTTGTTGACCAGCTGTTGTATTGTTTCTCAAAACCGATTCCTGACGATTGGGACTGATGCAGACTTTGGACTATATATGGCAATCATTGTCAATTTTACGAGGGTACCTTTAAAACAAGATGGTTCAACTAGTTAGAGCACGAATTTACTGACCGGAAAGTCCGTGGTTCAAACCCGACCTCTGCCTCTCCACTTTCCCAGTCTGAGCTTGGGCGACCTGGCAGTATCGCAGCCCTGGTGCTTCTTTCGGGTAGCATGGCACCGGAAAGGTGTTACAACTGTACGATTTCGATTTTTTTACCACGAGTCTTGAAGATACTGGTATAAGTCATTGGTGCGACTATTCAGTGCAAAGGTCTGAGTTTTAGACGGGTTCGTTGTAGTGGGAGCAGTGAGGTTCGTCTGTTGTGGGCTTCCGGATTTGTCTTCTACCGGAGTGAAGTAATAGGGTTTCGAAAGGCTTGCTGTTTGAACGGTATTCGTGAAGGTTACAAATGTCGATATTCTGGATGGTAAGGTTAACAAAACGGCATTGGGTGCTTCAACGGCTTGCAACAAACCTGGCCCCTGTTCTTTCACTGCCTTTTTGTCTATCTGTCAAGTACAGTGGAAAATCGCTCGCCTCACCGCTGCTTCCTTTACCCTCATATTTGCCTTCCATGTGTAGGACCTGGCTTCCCTTTATTCTCTTTCTATACTCAATCAAGTACAGTGGAAAATCGCTCGCCTCACCGCTGCTTCTAGCCTTTACCCTCCGTCAAGATGTATCTTCTTTGTCTCTGTTTCTTCGCCGTTTTGCGACAAAAAATTCACCGTTCCCCAGTGACCCGCGCTGCTGTACTATGTGTCGATATGTTTATCTTCCAGTCTTCTATTACTTCCTTCGACCGATGAAGCGCGGTTACTTCCGTCCTAACGAGATCATGCTATTTACCATTCGTCGGTAGTGTTAATCAAATCATTTATCGTGTTTGAGGACAATTGCTCTGCTGTGTGTTGTATTCCCGTCAGGTTGTGCGCGTCGTTGTTAGTAATCAGGCATCATACCTAACATCACGCGTATCCCATGCGAAAACAGTGGAATTCGTTACACACTATTCCCCTTTCTAGGACTTTCGTCTCACGTGTTTCGTGCGACGTATGTGGCATCCTTAACCTTGTTTGATCAGATGTTCTTGCTATCCGAAAGTTTGTGTCAACACTAAACTGCACAAGATGAACTCGACCAATTCCGCAGATCGTTTTTTTCTCACAGATGTGTTTAATTGTACATCTAATCTAATTTTTTCATAAAGGAAACTAATCACAAGGTTTCTGAAAACTCTTAGACAGCCCACGATCGGTTTCGTCCTTCCTGGGGCTCATCAGGTAGGCGCAGTCCCCGAGTTTCCGTCAACCTTATGTTCAGTTAAGTCTCCCGTTATCACTTGTAGTTTACCGTTCAATAGAATGGAAACCTGAGGACTAGGTCACTAGGCCACCAGTCATCTTTCATCATACCTTTTGGAGGAATGACCCCGATGATTTAACCCACCTGATTAAGTAGGATATGCCCGTTAACCGGTGCTGGTGAGATAGTTCCTTCCCCATGGTTCATATGGGTGGGACGTTCTGCGAAGCATGTTTGCTGTATCTCTGTGCATTCGGCCTAATTTGTCCATCGGAGTCTCCATTTTACTTCAGCCTTCAGAAGAATTCCGCAGTTAGCATCCCATTCTCCATGGATGATGATTTTGGCGACTTTCAAACCAGCATTGGCACAAGTCTCGCAGCCGGTCCAGTGCCGATCCCGCAAAACACAAACAAGCTCTTATCCGCAGAGAACAACATCAGTCTCATCGACAATCGGTTTGAGGTGACTCGACCAAATTACAACCTTTCTTCTGATTTTCAGGTAAGGGTAGTCCTCCTTATTTCCCTTCCGTTTAACTTGCACTCCTTACTCCAGTTGGATCAAATTGGCGGTCACTTCATTCCTCGGGCGAGTAACAAATACGTGAACTTCATGGTACAATGATACTAAGAGTTCTCTTGATCCAATTATCTTGACAGGTTCTTTATATAGTAAGTCAGTGAAGACTAACTCGGAGAGGGGAGGTCAGGAAGCCATTTGTTAGCGGAGTTATACGCGATCCCGTGTTACTCGTTGTTTTCATCTTCCCCAAATCTGTAGGGAACAAGATTGTAGAGGAATTCATGTATTTGTGTTTGGTGAGTGATTCAGGTCCACGAGATGCTTAGGGTCGGTGTTGTCTATTCGTTCTTCAGATGAAAACTAGTGACTCAGTACATCCGGCTCGTCTCTAATCTGTGCACACAGAGGTCATACTTCTCGCCATTATCATTTCGTTGGCAGATGTCACTGAATTGTGCAGCAGAACTGTCTGATGTACGAATTCGATCTAACGCCAGAGGAGAATTCGGGAGATCGGGTCCAGCAGACAGATGTCTGTTGACGCGGTTCTGTTTCTATATGGGTCAAACAAATCTGGAACAATTATTGAGAAAATAGTACAGTTTTTGTCTTCGTACCATAAATCCATCAAAGTTATTTCGTCGACAATTCTCACAACGCTAAGGATGACCAAGGCGTCTGAGTGAAATCACTTTGTTATCGACATTTTTGTGAATTTCTATCAGGTGTGTTCCTAAGGCTTCTCACAAAGTTTCGCGGAATCGTGCAAACTTGAACTGTAAATTCGATCGTGTGTCTTTGTTGGTGATGCGGCTAGAGGACAATACAGTTGTGAGACCCAAGGGAAGTGGTTTAACTGTCGAACCCTTAACGGTGTTGTCGCACGATACCGTCTTACTAATGACCCCTGTTTTCAGGGGAACTGTGTCCATCCGAACACCCTGTATGATGTGTGAGTTTACTGAGTAATCCACTCACGAGAATGAGCAACTCAACTTACCAAACACCTGCTCCCATTCAATGTCTGATGGTGCTTTATAGTGCCGCTACGTTAGAACACAGTACCTTCCAAGGGTCATTTATGACAGACATTCAGTAGCCAAATCAAACAAGGGTATATAATCGCCCCTCCCCCACTAATTCGCAGGGCTTATGTTCCGAAAAAGCCCGCGCATTACGAAAACTACGAAGTTAGACTGTCGTCGAAAGGTCCATAAACACCTGGTTTTGTGCTTTAGATCCCGAAAACATGCAGTCTACTACACACTTGGATATAAATTTGAACTTATTCCTACAAATTAAAGATGGAGGTGATCGTTCAGCCGGAACACCCTTATGGTGCTTAGTTGTCATGCCACCCAAAGGAAGCACGAGAGCTGGTATACTGCCAGGTTGCCCAAACCTAGACAGAGGAAGTCGGAATACGGAGGTCGGATTCGAACAACCGACCTTGTGGTCAGTAAATTTGCGCTCTAACCACTGAGCCATTTTACGCATTATCTCTACTGAAAGAATATGACAGTAGGCCCGTATAGTGCACAGTATTCTTTTCGAGAACGTCAAATACTTTTATATCTACTGTAAAGTGGGTGAAAACACTGATGATTTAGTATTAGAGAATATACTGTAAAAAATTAAATCGCTTCATCGAATAACTATGAGTTAGATCTTGAAGAAGAGGCCGCCACCGTTTATATTTCCGCCCTCTTCCGAAGCGTCGCTTGGGGTATTACTGTACAGAGTCTCAGTAGTTAGAGCGCGAATTCGCTGATCGGAAGGTCGGTGACCTCTGCACCTCGACTTTCCCTGTCTGGGCTTTGGAAACCGGGCATTATTCCAGCCCTCGTGTTTCTTTCTGATGGCTTGGCAGTTAGGCACCGAAAGGGTGCTGCGGCTGAACGATTTTTTTACACAGCACTCGTCGTTATCAGAATTGAATGTAAGCGCAGTTTCATTTTCACTATAGCTATCAAGTGGATCGGAATTCGGATCACTCGGGTATTCCATCGATCGACGAGGTAATGAACTAACTGAAAGCGTCGAAGTGGTCGGCCGCTACAAATAGGGGCTGAGATACAAGAAGAGTTATGAACAATCGTATCAAAAGTCGTTTAGACTTCTGGAATGATGTGCTTGAACAGGTGTACAGTCGTATTAGAGAGGCAGCCGTTACAACACCCTATTTGAACAGCGATTAACAGCGTTGTCCCGACTGCCGTTTAAAAACTTCAAAATTAACCATTTTTCCCCTCTTTCACTTTAGACCTATGAGACGCCAAAACAGACCATTCAGTACGAGTGGTCTCGGTGCCTGACACAGTGCTTACAAGTATTGAATGCGTCACTCGATTCATTATCCGTACTATCCTCGAAATCGGAACGAGATGAATTCAGTTCCACTCCAGAGGGTCACGAGTTTTTCCTTGGTAAGCATGTTGACATAACCGTTTTGATTGTATGAGTTTTAACTGTAGTGATATTCCTCCTCTTCACTGTTACGATTCACTTGTCACGTGATTCTCTCATGATATTTTTCATGCGATTTTGTTTATTGATTGTCCCCAGATCTGTTCGAAGTTTACCGGATCGCACAACGGGTGGCAGAATCTGCTTCTAGATATGGTAAGTGGTGGATATCTTTCACTTTCGAGGCAATCGAGTTCTGCATGCAACGCTGCTTTGGTATCCATTCGAACTGACGAAGTTTTTTTTGTTCCGCGCAGTTATTGATTAGGGTGTGCGCGCGTGTCCACCTATCCCGCAGAGTTTCCCCAAATGATCAGGTTTGTATCTTACGATGCTCTCCGAGGTTCTCCTCCCTTGTGATGGCTTGCAACAATACCTCTAATATCCCTGCGTATCTTTGCTCGGTCATCTTACTTCCGAGCCCTGAATGATTGGGACCGATTTTGAGCGTCGGATTGGCAATGTATGTAGCGTTTAATTACTCAAAGTATATCCCACACGATGTCGAAGGTGGTGCCTGTGTTTTCGAGCAATTGCAAAGCGCCCGGTTATATTTAGTGTGTATTTTCGCTTCTTCGAGGCTTGTATCACGTGTGTTCAACTCTCATTTCGTTTAGCCAATATTTACAAGCAAACCACCTGTGATATTCTCCCTGCCTTTCGGTTTTCCCCTTATTCAGGGCTGTGGACCCCAGAATTACGCTCCCAAGCTTCTCAGCTGCGCGCGTCATTCCAAAATCATGCACAGTGGATCACACCAACGGAGCTCAAGGTGAGCAACCAAATTCCTTTTTACAGCAGGGGCCTAATTCCACGTAAATCGCTTATGAGGCCCAAAGAGCGAGACAGGGGGATTTGCCTGTGGAATGCCAGGCTATTCTTTGTATGTCCAGAAGAGAGGCAAACGTTTCTCACAACACAAAATCATTAGTCGACTACCATCGTCATCATCATCATCATCGTCGACAGCATGACATCAATCTTCAACACTGATGCTTCACTACCGTACAACCATGATTTATTTGAAAGCCTTATTGTAAAGAAAAGAGTAAAGGTGGATCGGGGAGGGACTTAGTGCTAGCTTAACACAATCATTCCGAGGTGCCTACACCTCCAGGCATTCACTCAGACGATCTGACATAAAGGTCGGCACTGACATCGGTTGGCAGCCATATCTTGTAGTGTCTTCAACCAGGCACAGTGAGGATCACGCGGTCCCCATCCTGGAATGTGAGTAGCACTGACAGCACCCAAGCGCTTCGCGATCTCCTTCACACTCCTCTGCCAAGTCAAGGGTTGGCCACCTCTCTGTTTACGCCACTCTGAGTTGGGCATGAAAAACAGCACTCTCTTCGGCAAACGATGGTTCGGTATACGTAACACATGTCCCAACCAACGCAGCTTCTGGTGCTGGACACATTCTTCAATGAAAGTTACACAACTGAAAAATTTCAACTTAACAATACCTAGGTATGGTAGTCCAGTGTGACACTGAAGGGGCACATCACCTTTCAAGTGAGTCGACTTATCCCTGTGATGAGGTGCACTGACATTCACAGTCGACCTCATTATTTTGTGGGATGATCGGATAGGTACGCTTCCCTTGAACACACGGTACGCATTTTCCTCCGTGTCTGGAATCAGCAAACGAGAGCGCCGTCCGTTGAACTCTGTCAAACTGGCAACTGTCAGCATAAAGGTATGCAACTCGGGACCCAGTTGATTATCGCTCGCCTATGGGTTCCATCCGACCAGAATCCTGACGTTATTAAATAGGACACACCAACAATAGGCACGTTACTTTCACGAAAAGCCGGATTTAACTCCTGGCCAAGCGCAGCATCGCCGAACGGAGCCTTTTGCTGTCCTCCAGAAACCCCATATTCCAATGTGTTGTACGTGAAGTGAAAATTGCCACGTATGTCTGCGTATACCAGGAATTATTTTTCAAAACCCCCAGCAGTTTTGAGCAAATTTTCCCGTTATTTGAAGTGCACTGTCAGCGGTTTGAGTTGTGCGAATGTGGAGCGTTTCTCAATTTATATGTACTATGCGTGGTCTTATCTTTTGGCTAGAATCTGGATACAATGTCCTGCGATAATGGAGAAGACACCAGTGTGACAACAAGTGACTTCGATATAGTTTAGTTTTTAACAGCTCAGACCCGTGTTGCGTTTATGCAAGCATTCTTGTCTGGGTTAACATGTCCACTGTCCAATTTGAAGTCAGCCACGCTTCAAGTTACCTTTCCCGTTTACTTGCAGTATATTTTCCCATTAGTTCTGCGGGCTATTTTTCAAAAGGTCCTTTTATTACACATATATCTAGGCCCGAAAATACAATGGATCGAGAACGTTATCCATCTGCCAACTATGCTGTGTTTCTTCTGTTGCATCTTTTCAGTTGAGTAACTTTGATTTCTTTCCAATGCAATGCATCAACTCACATGATTTCACAGTGACTGCCACGGAGAGGTAACACGAAACTAATTCAGTCCACACCAGTGGACACCCTCAGCGGAGTTGATCATGCACAGAACATGAATATCACATGATTCACCTCCTACCATCGACTGGCGTTTTTCTTGTTTCTGTCCTGTTGTCTTGAGGTCGAGTGTCATTTTAGTTACAGTGCCCCGTAAAATAGATCCGAAAGTCGCCAACATCCTGAAAAAAAGATGAGAACAACTTGGTAAATTTGTACCATCCGCATGGAAGGATTCTCGGCCCTGTGTGCTAATTTTACTGAAACAACATACTTTTATAATAAAAATCGTTCAGCTGTAACACCCTTTCGGTGCCTAGCTGCCATGCCACCAGAATGAAGCACGAGGGCTGGGATACTGCCAGGTTCCCCAAGCCTAGACAGGGGAAGTCGAGAGGATGTAATGACTACTCATAAGGCTCCTGAAAATTCTTCGACAGCCCACGACCGATTTCGCTTTTCTTGGGGCTCATCAGTTAGGCGCATCTCTGAGTTTCCGTCAACCTTATGTTCCAATTGAAACCAAATTACGCGAAATTAGCGAAATACACCCATTTACAAACCGGGAGACTCACCTGAAACCCAACTGAATCTCTCGTTTATGTTGCTTCTGTTTTAAGCACCTGAGTGTGCTCCAACAGGCCGCCCCGTGTTTCCGTTAAAAAACATCATAAGCAAGAGATCTAGCTAGGTTCCAGATAAGTCTCCCGGAAAACCAAATCGGTTTGCAAATGAGTCTATTTCGCTAACGTATACTTTGCTCTTCTATGAAACAAATTTTTGATTGGTCTTGTGGGTTTTGTTTGTCAATACAGGAGGGCCTACCTTGCAACATAAACCACTCGGCCAATCCCCTCAGGAGAGAACGGAAAGCGTTTAGTTGTAGCACTTTTCCGGTACCTAACTGCCAGGCCACCCGAAGGAAGCACGAGAGCTGAGATACTACCAGGTTGCCCAAGCCTGGACAGGGGAAGTCGAGATGCAGAGGTCGGGTTCGAACCACGGATCTTCCGGTCAGCAAATTCGCGCTCTTACCACTAAGCCATCTCGCCTCACCATTCGAACTTCTCCATTGACGGTTTACAACCCCAAATTCTATCTTGAGAAGCATGTAGTTCGTTCCAGCCTTAGTCTAATTTTGGACGGCGAAAAAAACTTCATTTTTGGCTAAATCTTTGGCTTCCTTCGGGTAGCATGGCAGCTAGGCACCGGAAGGGTGTTACAGCTAAACGACGATTAGAAGTCTGTGGCCTATGCCTAGTAGTTACCAGTTACCGTGACTGGTAGGAACCGTGTGGTTGGTGACCATTCCACAATTCCAGGACGTTGTTAGAAACCTCTAGATTATTCAGAATACGAACCGCTGTTTGAAAGAGCGGGATGGAAAAGTGGATACCCTTTAGGGGTTTCTCATCAAAGGTTTCTGTATGATCCGATATCCCGTAATTGATCAACTCAACTTTCTTCTTGCCCTATTTCGGGTTGGTCTAATCGCAATAAGATTCTGGAGTGTCGGTTATCGCTCAAAAAAGTGGTGTGCAAAATTCACGTTTTATTGACTATGTACGCCTAACCATGACAAGCAACACATTGTAGATTTGGCTTTCCAGTGTCATGACGGTTGCTGTTCTGCCCGGTAGTTCTCATTACTTCTCTTTCAGGGTCGATTCGACATCCTCGTACAGGCGTCCTTGCTCGACGGTTGCACAATTCTACCAGTGCGAACGAATTCTTCATCCTACTGTGGAGTATGTCTGGACACGTTTTGTCCGGATTCCGCATGTACCGAAGCGGACAATGTGATTCCATGGGCTGGTCGTCAGTACCACGCTTCTTGTGCCAATTTCTGGATTAATCGCGTTCAACTGAGTCTCCCTGCCTTGGTGCTACCCTAGCCTGATTGCTTTTCCATTCATCAAACTATCGAACACCGTCGCCAGATATTATTATTTTCCTCCATCACTTTGGCACATTCCACAGCCAACTGATCTTCATTCTACCGGTAAATTTGTCGTCTGTGATGTACCTCCTTTCTATTTCTCTGAGCTCGTTTCTGTTGTACAATAAATGTACTTATTCAATCATGTGTCCTTTCTTCCTCGCTGTCCTTTTCAATTTTATGTTTGTAGTGTTTACGCTTACCTATGCTGATATTATGGGATCTAACCTGTTAGAAAAACATCTTCTTTCGACGGCTTTGTGAATGGTAGCTATGTTTACGTCTGTTTGCCCGTCTCGATCCAGCTGTATAGTCAGTAGTGTCCGTGCACTACGGCCATCGTCTTCAACTCATCTCAACAAGATAGAACCCCGCTCTGACGCCCTTTCAACGGCGCTATCAACGCTAGATCGGTGCTCGAATCTTCGTTGTCCCTTTTAACCGTCACAAGGAAACTAGAACTTACCGCGGTGTGATGGTTTGTGCACCGGTACAGCTTAGTAAGCTATAATGGGGAGTGGAATTGTGACACTAACACAGCCTCTCATACCAGGTTGATCAATGACTAGAGGTCTGAGTAGAGGTCCTCCAGGTTGGAAGTTGGACCGCATGTGGTTGCTTGATCCTTAAAAATATCGGTTTTAATGGCGGTCCCATGCCAACCACCGCTGCTTTGCGTTCAGGCCTTGGTTAAGAACCCTGATCGTCCTCCTCTATAGTCACTGTCGACCTGGCAGTATCACAGCCCACTTACCATAACAAATTGCACAATTACAAATAATCTCAAACCCCATAGGTCGTTATGTGGTACCATCAGCCGGGTCACTTGCATACAGCGGGATGGGTAAGCGAAAACAGACTACTGCTGACATCCCCCTTCGTTCTGCCCCACATGTTTGCTCCTCTTCCCCTCCTCGTCCAGTTTCTAACGACTTCTCCGTCGGTTCATGGACTGGTAGGTCCATTCCACGAGCATTCCCGCTAGCTGCAGTACCTACGAATAATGCGGCTGCCAAGGCCACAGATACCTGGAAGTCGTCCTTCAAACCCCAGCGTTTAGCTCATCTAGCAAACTTTAATGTTCCCACTCCGAAAGAAGCTGAACAGCGGACTGCTTTTGGATGTACGCCAGACTCGCTCTCTACTGAGGTGTTGTCTGTTTAGAATGATGACTTCAGCCCAAATTACGGTTGTACAACTGTCCCCCTCATCGTTCTCCCCTTGCTTCCGCTTACACACACGTGACGATCCAGTGGCCACTTCGGCTGGTCCTACTGGAGTTTTGATGTTCTAAGTTATGGAGCTGAAGATTTATCGGTTGTCTGTTAATTTTCGTCTTTATGCGGTTCTTGTGACAAGGTCTGTGAGGTGTCAGCTTATGCCCCAACAAACTGTAGCTCTACTACGCAAACTACAATTTTTACGGCGCTTTGTGTGTATTTTTGCAGCGNCACATACCTATGCTGATACTATGGGATCTAACGTGGTAGACAAACATCTTTCGACGGCTTTGTGAACACTTCGGATGGTAGCGACGTTTATGTTTGTGTGCCCGTCTTGATCTAGTTGTATAATCAGTAATGTCCATGCTCCGTGGTCATCGTCCTTAACTCATCCCAACAAGATGGAGTCCCAACCTGACGCCCTTTCAACGGCGCTATCAGCGCTAGATCGATGTTTGAAGCTTGGCTGTCCCCCTTAACCGTCACAAAGAAACTAGAACTTACCGCAGTGCGATGGTTTGTGCACCTGTACAGCTAAGTAAACTATAATAGGGAGTGGACTCGTGGACACTAACATGGCCTCTCATACCAGGTTGATCAATGAGTCGAGGCCTGACCAACGCGGTCTCTTGGTCCTCCATGCGGCAATTTGGACCGCTTGTGGTTGCTTGATCCTCAAAAATATCGGCTTCTATGACGGTCCCACGCCAAACACCGCTGCCTTGGTTGAGACCCGTAATAATCCTTCTCTATAGTCATGCTCGACCTGGCAGTATCCCAACCCACTTACAACAATAAATTGCACGAGTACAAATAATCTCAAGCCCCATAGGTCGTTATGTGGTGCCATCAGCCGGGTCACCTGCATACAGCAGGATGGGTAAGCGAAAACAGGCTACTGCTGATATCCCCCTTCGTTCTGCCTCACATACTAGCTCCTCTTCCCCTCTTCGTCCAGTCTCTAGCGACATCTCCGTCGGCTCATGGACTGGTAGGTCCGTTCCCCGAGCATGGCCGCTAGCTGCAGTACCTACGATAAATGCGGCTGCCAAGGCCACAGATACCTCGAAGTCTTTCTTCAAACCCCAGCGTTTAGCTCATCTGGCAAACTTTAATGTTCCCACTCCGAAAGAAGCTGAACAGCGGACTGCTTTTGGATGTACGCCAGACTCGCTTTCTACTGATATGTTGTCTGTTTAAAACGATAATTTCAGACCCAAATAAGATTGTACAATTGTCCCTCCTCCCTCCCCCCATCGTCTTCCGCTCGCTTCTGATCATGTGACGATCCAGTGGCCGCTTCGACTGGTCCTAAAGGAGTTGGTGTCGCGCTAAGTTATGGAGCTGAAGGTTTATTGGTTGTCTGTTAATATTCGTCTTTGTGGGGTTCTTTTGGCAGCTCCTCTGAGGGTATCCCCTAACAACGCTAATAGTCGCTGGTTATCTATTGTATCAGCTTATGCTTCAACAAAGTGTAGCTTTAATACGCAAGCTAAAATTGTTACGGCGCTTTGCAGGGGTATAAATGTTCAGGTATTGCTGTTGTTGCCTGGAGAATGAATGTACAAAAGGGTAGACCTAGCGTACTGAGACTCTATCGGGTAGTCATCTCTGACCGGAATCGAAACACACAGGAAACGATGAACGCCTGTTGCAGGCATGTGCTGACCACAGGTTGTTTCGGTTCAGGGCTAACTTCCAAAACAGCCCTAGGCGCTTAGCCACTTGGTACCCCCCTCCCCGAATGCGAGCCAACCCCTAATAGAGACAGACCCCATCGCCATTCGTTATCGATGGCATGGCTTCGTTACCGATGATCGTTCAGTATGGAACAGCGATGTGGATTCTGTCATGCGCCTGTTCGTTGCTACTTGTTTCAATTTCCACCGACGAGCGAGACGCGCATGTCTGGTTTAGCCATTGAGAAGCTCCCGGACCCTAATATGCTACAAGTCTACTAGAACCACCTGAGCTTCTTTTCGAAGAAAGTGTTGTCCACAACCCTGTCAGATGCTGGGATCTGGACATCTGGAACGATCCAACCAACTAAGTCTAGACCCTGGGTTTCGAGAAATTGTGAAATTACTCGAAGCTCTGACACGTATTCCTGTTGGCCGATAGTACAATGCCGTTGGACGAACTGTCACGCCGGGTAAAAACGAGCATTTGCACGGATTGATAAGATTGCTGGATCCAGAAAGCCGAAGAGATGGAAGATGCAGATGGTACATGAAATTTGCTCAATGAAGCTTTCATTAAGCAAAACAATAATTGATAACACTCTTGGTTTTCTGTGGAGGAAACAGAGTGCCTGAATTGTTAGGCGGAGCACTTCCCAGACCAATTCCACTGGCCTTATGCTGTTGTTCAGCCGGATTCATAAACAGCAACTCAGCCCTGGAAATTGAGCTTCAAACCTCCGATAGCTTCGGAGATAAGCGATTGCCTTTCGTCTCTCAAATGTTACTGAGCTGAGACGAATCCCCAGCGGCTCCGTTTATAGATGGATCTGAAATCCTAACTTGCCTCCATCTGGGAGAAAGGGGCCGTCCTAGCTAACTGGGTATAGTCGATGGTGTTGCTCCTTTTCAACAATCTGGCAGTGAGTGTGGCAATGAGGGTAGCTAGCTTGTGTCCTGTTGTAACCAGACTGTTCGTGTCGCTTATTTAACGTAGAGACGGGAACCGTGATGGGCAAGAAGGATTCTCGCCGGTAAAGGTCTCTGTGGGCCACATATTAACGCTTTGTGTACATTTAGAGCAATGACATGCGTATAGGGGTCCTACAATGTTGACGTTCCCTGATTTGAAGAGTGCTTTCGTCTATGTCAACTGGTTAGTACTTTTCGAGATGCCTGCACCCCGGAATTCCATGTGTATCATGTGGTGTTTTTATTCACGTACTTGTAGACGCCTAAGAGTGTATGAGGAGCCATCCAAAAACTTTCCTTCAGTAAGTGGCCTCCGAAATGGATGTTCTCGATCTCTCCATTTCGTTTTTAATGAGGCGAACCCTAGAAAGTCTCTCCGAGCGAGAAGCTTGTCGACCTGGAATATACAAACGACATTATTCTCATTTTCAATAAAACAGAAAGCGCGAACATTGCTTCAAAAGCTGTCTGGGCATGTGATTCTCACCCACAAAGTGCAAAGTAATGCTGCATGACGTGCAGTATTTGAACGTGCCTCTTAGGATTCGAGGATTGAGTCCGGAGGTTTTGGAATACTGTACTTATCTCGGAAGTTACCTGAAGGTAGTGTAAGTGATGAAATGAACGCACGAATCTTGGAGATGGAAGATGCAGATGGTACATGAAATTTGCTCAATGAAGCTTTCATTAAGCAAAACAATAATTGATAACACTCTTGGTTTTCTGTGGAGGAAACAGAGTGCCTGAATTGTTAGGCGGAGCACTTCCCAGACCAATTCCACTGGCCTTATGCTGTTGTTCAGCCGGATTCATAAACAGCAACTCAGCCCTGGAAATTGAGCTTCAAACCTCCGATAGCTTCGGAGATAAGCGATTGCCTTTCGTCTCTCAAATGTTACTGAGCTGAGACGAACCCCCAGCGGCTCCGTTTAAAGATGGATCTGAAATCCTCATTCGGGGCTTACGTAACATGCCTCTATCTGGGAGAAAGAGGCCGTCCTAGCTAACTGCTCATTTTCAACAATCGGGCAGTGAGTGTGGCAATGAGGGTAGCTAGCTTGTGTCCTGTTTTAACCAGACTGTTCGTGTCGCTTATTTAACGTAAAGACGGGAACCGTGAAGGGCAAGAAGGATTCTAGCCGGTAAAGGTCTCTGTGGGCCACATATTAACGCTTTGTCATCAGTTAGAGCAATGACATGCGTATAGGGGTCCTACAATCTTGGCGTTCCCTGATTTGAAGAGTGCTTTCGTCTATGTCAACTGGTTAGTACTTTTCGAGATGCCTGCACCCCGGAATTCCATGTGTATCATGTGGTGTTTTTATTCACGTACTTGTAGACGCCTAAGAGTGTATGAGGAGCCATCCAAAAACTTTCCTTCAGTAAGTGGCCTCCGAAATGGATGTTCTCGATCTCTCCATTTCGTTTTTAATGAATCGAACCCTAGAAAGTCTCTCCGAGGGAGAAGCTTGTCGACCTGGAATATACAAACGACATTATTCTCATTTTCAATAAAACAGAAAGCGCGAACATTGCTTCAAAAGCTGTCTGGGCATGTGATTCTCACCCACAAAGTGCAAAGTAATGCTGCATGACGTGCAGTATTTGAACGTGCCTCTTAGGATTCAAAGATTGAGTCTGGAGGTTTTGGAATACTGTACTTATGTCGGAAGTTACATTAGCTCTGAAATGAACGCACGAATCTCTGAGGCCAGGATTACGTTTACCAAATTGCACCACTTGTGGCGTCAAAAACCCCTTCCACTGGGTCTCATAGAAAGTGTGTATCAGATTTCCATACAAGCTGCATTGTTTTACGGCTGGGAGACTTGATTGCCTTGGATAGTGACATCTTCAGGTCTTAAGCCACTGATGTCCCAGAAGTATGGCTGGATTCGGGTGGAACCAGCCAGTTCGCAATCAGGTGATCCGGGGACGAGTTTTTGGTGAAACAGGACAATTCGCTTGAATAATGCATTTAAACAGGTTTTCCAACGGAAGCAGGTGACGGTGTTTGATCAGCACACCGAGGAGATTCGGGTAAATCTCAGCTGGGTTTCCCCTTAGCACGAAACTACCTTGCCGATTAGTTTTTGTCTCGCCGTACACCACACCTTACTACTTATTTTCAGATCTTGGTGCAGTGTATAAAATNTGGTTGTCTCACGAAGTCACGAGCTGTGCATCTCTACGTCCTGCCGAGGCGGGTGTATTGTACGCTTGGTTCCGTGCAGCTGAGCTGAACCATCTTATGTGATACTGGGTTCCCAGTTTGTGATCCCCCGGAATGTCTGAAAGGATTGGTGGCCGTCGTTTTCTGAGAGAACTTTATCGGATCTCAAAAGAGTTTCAGTCGTAACCGATGCGTCAATAGAAAGTCGTCCAGCCTAGTCGGCCTTACAAGTCCACCAAGTTTTTTCCCGAATCTCAAATATAGACCACTTTTCTCACTGCGTTGTTTGGAACCTAGTTCGATGGCAGTGTGTCACACATTGACCAGCTTGCGAAAGCCAGACCCTTTCGACCTCCTTAAATCTGAATTTACATTCGCTTACATGTGCCCTGTTCCGGACCTCCAATTCTCGTTCGACTTCGATTACCGTTCTTGTTCCCATCTCATGCTACTCAAATAGGTATTGTGGGGGGACTGTTTTCGCGATGTACCATATAAGCTGGAGTGGATAGATATCACTTTTAGGTTTATACCTTCCCCCTATCACAAAGCAAACCGGAATCATGGAGCGGATAGAGTCAGAGGCTGTGTAACAAGCTCTGGTTTGTCTTTATACCAGCCTTGCTCAAATCTGTAGTCAGTGTTTTCCACACTCGTTTCAGACTCCTTGCTTTTATGCCTCAACTCTACTTACGGGCCACTACCAAGGAAGGTGAGGTTTCTTGGCGTTTTCCATCTCGTCATTGTGGTGGTTGGTCTCTATTCGTCTAGCTAGTCGCTTGCACGCCAGGGTGGTGTGGTTGGGCATGTTGTCTGGTTGTACGGTGATGTTTCCTAATATCCATACTGGGTGTTCTTATTCCCATTCTTTGAGTGCTTGTATAATATATTGTCCCATACGGGATGGGAATGAACACAGTATCAATATTGGAGCTCACCTGTTTTCGACGGCTTTGGGTGGATGTGCATCGAAAACATCTTGAGTTTTCTGATTATTACGTAGATCGCTGTTGTTTCGGGATATTGATGAGCGGTTTCTTTTTACTCTTTAGATAGCGCTGCTCTCGATTCATGAGCACCGCCAGCGATTCCGTGGATTCGCCAAAATTGGTACTAACGGAAGAACCCAACAGCCCACCTTCGGGTGATCAGCCGGACTGGCGCGTGAAAGCTTGTGAGCTTCTGGAAACCCATATAAAGATGCTTAAGCAGAGTAATATCGAGTTGGCAATGAAGTCGGCTGCAATTTCTTGCTGTCTGGTGGAGTTACTTGGCGATTTATCTTTCCTTTCCAGAAGCGCATCTGAATCAGAAGACAAAAATTGGCTAGTAAACCAGCTGGGTCATGTAATGCAGACCCAGTCAGTGAATGCGAGCGAGTTGTTTAGCGAATCCTGTCCCCCCGTTACTCCTTCTACCGACCACTCAATAATCTCGGACTCTAGCACTCCTGCGGAACCTTCCACGGCTCCTTCAGCCAAAAGAACAAAACCGGAGGCTGTTCGGCAGCATAAACGGCGGAAAACTCATCACGAACCGAAGGTGGACATGACGTTGAAGCGAGAACTCAGCTGCGCCTTCGACGAATCAGAAGACGATGAGGCAGAGAGTGAGGAGATTCCAAACGAAGAGCCAATGATGGATGCAGCTGTTGTGCGCGCTGCTTTCCGGCTTTTTGCAAAACACATTGGTCCATCTCTCAAACGAGAGTACCGTACTGAATACGGATGCCCTCCCACGCAGAGTTGGCTTGCCAACCAACTGTTGGCCCGTTGGGACAATTTGAGTCCTCATGAGCGCCGAACTTACCATAAACGAGTTTTGTCCACTTCATCTGCATCAGTCTCCTTATCTTAGCTATTCCTCTGTGGTCTGGTTTGTAAATATAATGATACTTATTAACTCTTCATCCTGGTTCTTCTCTGTATTCGTCTGTTTGCTCCTACGACAAATCTGTTGATGTTTTCGGGATCCTTCATTTTGTCGCGTTGTCTATATCATAGCACGGGATTTTACTAATCTCAAGCCCCCCATTTTGTGCATGTGTTGTTCGTGTCCAATCGCCCTGTAACGTAACCGCTTAGAATCAGGAGTTTTAGCAACGATTTAGTACTTCTGGTGTACCTGTCCTGCTTACCCCCTTGTGAACATATCCCTGATCCGATAAGGTTTGCTCAATATCTCATGCTCGTTTTTGATACTCTCGGATGTTTGTGACTTGTCTTCAGGATCCACGGGCAGTTTCTACGCTCTGTTGGCTGGTATTTTTGGTCTCATTTCTCCTCCTAGGCCCTCTGTTCCCCCAGTCGACAAATTGCACCAAACCTTTCGTGCTTCAGGTTCATAACTTCCTGGACACTACAACTGAAATACCATCTGGATGAGAGCAGTTGAAAAGTCATTGGGGTCAGTTGGAACGTTGTTTTGTCTGCCACACATAGATACGGCTCAAGATGAACCTTAGCTCCGAACGGAGTTCAATCTTGTCTGTTCTTAGGGACCCTACCCAACATGTTCCTATCTGGTTGGTTGGCCGTCGTGCAAAGTAAAGGTGCCGTGCTAATATCTCAATCAGAAGCACACATCTTAATGCGAAGGTCTACTTGTTAGACTGTTCAGTTGTAGCATCTTCGAGATCCCACTTTATAGTCATTCGGTTTTCGTTATAAATGTTGAAAATCCTCTCAAGCGATGTGCATGCGAATGTTGATGATTTTTTTTACTTCCTGTATGACTTGCGAACATGACCTGATGGATGATGAGCCACCTTTGATGTTGTCTTCTGAATCTTGGTTAACTTTTATCCTCAAAAGCAGTTGTCTATTCTTCCCTGCAGCTTGAAATCGGTTGTTCCAGCGGTCCCTTTCGTTGCAGCAGGGAGGCATAGGTCTCGAAGTGTCAACACTTCATTCATCCTGCAGATCGGCGTACGCCCGTCTATAGTTGTACATTCGTCTCAATCAATTGCTGTGTATTTTCCCAACGGCTTAAAAACGTGTCGGTTACGCCACCCACGAGGTCATTGAAATCTCGGCAGACCATATGCCTCGTGTGAATCCTCTAGTTACGCAATCCGAAACTAAGGCTTCTAGCGAGACGGCCCAATTGGTTATAATGCGCATTTACTGACCGGGAGGTCCATGGTTCGAACCCGACCTCTGCTTCTCGACTTCCCCTGTCTAGGACACCCGACTTCCCCTGTCTAGGCTTTGGCAACCTGGCATTACCCCCAGCCCTCGTGCTACCTTCTGGTAGCATGGCAGTTAGGCACCGAAAGGATGCCACAGCTGAACGATTTTCTTTGGGCTTCTGGCGTTCAGTGAAGCAGTTCTAACAGAAGCAAGATAGGTGGTCGCGTGTACACAGGTGTTGATTAGAAGTTTCTTTGTCTTCGAACCAACCTTTATCCCCTGATCTGCCCATTTTAAAAATAAATAAAATAAAGAGTCCAGCTGTAGCACCCTTTCGGTGCCTAACGGAAAAAGGCACGAAGGCTTGGATACTGTTGGGTTTTCCAACCCTAGACAGGAGCAGTCGATATGTTGAGATTGGGTTGGACTTTCCTGTCCACAAGCTGGTGCCTTAACCACTAAGCTATCTCGACCTCACTAAATGATGTATGAGTTTGTAGATTTGCTGTGTCGTGTACAAGGTTTCTGGAATCCCAATATCCGTTTTATCCTTCTTGAAGCTCATCAGGTAGTCCTCAAATTTCCATCAACCTTGAACCATCTACTTGAACCCAACTTTCATGAACTGCGACGTATACACACGTATGCATGCCAGTTTGGTCTTGAGAGAAAACTCGCCTAGAATCCAGCTGGATCTCTCGTTTAAGATTTGCCTCACTGAACCACCTCATGTTTCAGTCGTTACGTATTCGAGATGTAATACAAAATAAAGACGTAATACACTGCTCATAAGGTTGCTGACGTCTCTTCAACAACTCACAACTGGTTTCACGCTCGTTGAACCGAGAGATTCAGTTGGGTTCCAGGTAAGTCTACAGTTAAAACCAATTTGGTGTGCAGACGAGTGCATAAGGTATGTGGTTTACTTTTGCTACTATACGTGTTACATACTTTATGTCCACAACCAGTTAAAGATGAGGTGTCAGCCCTGTTTACTCGGGAGCATATTGGTTCCTGCCACCAAAAGGGCTTTGGAACCATAGCTACATTCACAAACTTCTAGTGCACTGTGTACCCTGCACTTCGATCTGATACCTTCTAAGTCGAGTTTTCCACCAGGGGCTTCTGGTTGATAGTCGGTCATGGAAGTAGGCCTTGATGTAGTTACTCGGAGTCATTGGCCTGAGGCCGAGTAGATCGGCTTAAGACTTTATTGGTGTTCTCCGTTGTCAAAGTACTATGATGGAGCACCGGTGTGTTAACCGTTTGAACTCATTCACCCACAAGTTTACAAGTCCAAGTGAACGACGAGGCAACTAGCTATACGGTAACTTGTCAATGTAGTGTTCACGGTTTCCTTCGAAGTGTGGAGCTCCACAGGTGGCACGGATGCATCTTCGCACTGAACATGTGTTTACCAGTCAGTGCTTCCAGGGTGACATTCGTTCGCCAGCCGAGTCGTAACTAATGGAGATGCTTTTTTACTTCGAAGATCAGTTTCACACCGCCCAAACACTCAAGCGGGGACCGATTGAATTCCATGAACCCAGTACGAATCATCTTACATTATATTAACCATAATATTAGCGACACTAGAATTTTCCCAAGGTACACTCCGAACAAATCGCTTATTTGGTCTCGCGGATCTTTCTCACCGTAAACCCCTTCCAGGATAGTTCCTCCACTTGATCTTTCCACAGAGGGAGGAGTTTGTTTGTAAGAATTTTTCCGATTTCCTTAGTAGTTGTTGTTTAGAGGTATGTGCGTTGGTTTAAAGCCCTGGCCGTTGCACTCCTGTAGTAAATATTTAGGGCAGAATGGTCGGAGCAGATGACACTTTTAAACCATACATGTTTTTCAGGTCACTTCAGGCCCGTTTTTAAGGTTGACTGGTTTAAATGTGGTGTGATGATCATCGATCTGCCTGTGTGTGCATGTGCTAGCCTCGAAAATGTGGGAACGAGTCTGCAAGTCGAAAACAGAGAGAGCAGTTTGAGTAGTTAAAAGTGTTTTTAGTTTGGCCTGAGGTTAATTACTTCACCATACCTCGTCCTTACATGGGGCTAGATGGCTCAGTGGTTAGAGTGCGAATTTACTGACCAGAAGGTCCGTGTTTCGAACCCGACCTCTGCCTCTCAACTTCTCCCGTCTAGACTTGAGCAACCTGGCACTATCCCAGCCCTCATGCTTCCTTCGGGTGGCATGGCAGATAGGCACCGAAAGGGTGCTACAGCTGAACGATTTGTTATATTATTTCATCCTTACAGGTCGATTTCGTTTGGATTTCGAGTGGTGTTCGCTTTTCGTATTTGCTAGTCCTTTTACTGACAGACAAATTTGGTATTATGGCATTTGAAACTAAGAAAGGATCATCAGGAATTTGGGCCCCAACAGCATCTGGTAAGGATGTATATTGGAAGTAAGCAAAGTATTCATTTTAACTAATTGTTTGTCTAACTGCTTGTTACTTGCTTCACAGGCGGTTGTAGATCGACCTGCAGTCCGCTGCCTAACTGCCAACAGAGAGTTTGTTTTGAATCGTGTCATTCAGCAACATAGCAATCCAAACATTCGTAAGACAAGTTAGAAAAGTGAACCTTGACTTATTCCCAATGCATCTATGGTATGCAGTTGACAACCTTAGTGATTTTATAGCAAGACACTTGCGCCTTTCCGTTTGTCTTTAGGTAGACTAGTTGATAATACAACTACCGCTCACTGTTTCATCATATCGCATTGTCTCTCACAAACTTCTGTCTTTTCCCATCATCTTGCCTCAGAAAGGCAGAGTAATTTGATTCTTTTGAGCAAGGGTGACTTTCGTTGTACACTGCGACCGACGTTTTACCTTAAGTATTCGTTATTTTCCTCTTATGATGACGTCAACAGTCGAGCCTTTTGATTATCTCCCAAAAAGGATTTAGGATTTCTACTCTGGTAGATTCTTTCAGCAAGTAATGTCGCCTTGTCCTTACATTCTCTCGTCTTTCTGTACGCAAAGCTCACTTTTTCCGATTCGTAGCCATCTGGGTGACTACAAGCAGTTAATCGCAGACGCTCCGTGCTGAAATATACCCTCACACACTGGTGCACTGTCACAATTTTTACCACGACAGGGTATGCATGATTCTGAACTCGTAGGTTTTCCAGCTCATCCGTCTGGTTGTCACGTGAAGCACTCAGTTACAACACATTTTCCGGTACCGAGTATGCCGCGATGCGTTATTGCTTCACCACAAAATTTCCGAGCGCAAACATGTTAGTTCAGTTTGTTGGAGCCTAAATTACGACTAGTCTTTGCTTTGTTTATTCACCTGAACCAATGAAGTGGAATTTCTCATCAGTCGTTCAGATCTGAAGCCGAACAAACTCAGAAACTCTGAAATTGTCACCAGCCGTAAAAAAACAACTGCCCAGACTTTGGGGGCGAGGACCATAAACAATAGGGTAATTTTCCTGCTGCATCGTTCTGAAAATCCAGCGGATCCGTTTATCGTGCACAAGATTCGTGTACTTTTTTACAAATTCAAATAACCACGGTGGCCGTCGGGTTTCACATTCCCTACATATCAATTGGTTCGAAAATAATATGTAACATTCTGCTCACTCCGGTTGGCTGATCGGTTTAGACAACTGTTCAAATGACAAAGTCGAGTGTTAAAAAAGGTGGGAATCCTCTTTCGAGTATCATCCCATGAATGGTGACGCCATCCATGGGATTACTCGACGTACGATCATGATCTTATAAAGCATCTCCCTATCCGCAGATTTGGGCGCTTTTTGAGTGTTAGCGATTCCGTGAAACCCGCTTCCCGCAACTGATTTTGTAATTTGGTTTGTGAAACTGCATAGATCTAAACAAACGAAAACAATTAATTACTAGGAGAACTAGCTCCGAACGTAACGGGACTATATAACAGCCAATGGAATTACCGTTTTCGTTGAGACAGATTGCATTGGCTGTTCTTCACTCGCCCTGACAGATGAAGT